TCTCCAGCATCACCAGATCTTTCTGCCCTCCTTCCTCTCATTCTCCAGAGTTCATAGTGTTTATAGGACTCGTCATTTCTGTTCTGTTCTATTTAATCTTGTGTCCTCCTCCATGACAGTCCTGGTGTATCCCACTTCTGCCAAATCATCAATCCATCTTATAATCAGTTCTGAAACTGGAGAAAAACTTTCAAAATTTACACAGACTAAAACAAAGACCAGACTTCTGAGATAAATCAATATGGCAAACGTAGTACTGCAGTTCCCCTCATAGTTTTAAAAGTACGCATTGGCTCTGTTGATCCAGTTTTCCTTTTCCAAGAATCCTCACAAATACAGATGCAAATCCTGCGATTACTCGTCTATCTCTCTTGTGCAGAACAACAAACTTCCCTGGAGCTTTTGCGATGTTTATTCTCTTCTATCCAGAAATTAGTAACTTCTTTACCTTTATTTAACCAGGAAGTTACCTGTAAGTGTGTAACCTGTAAGTAACCCTGTGGTCTTATGGCAACTGAGCTAATAAACGATTGAATTGAAACGGTTTTGTTCTATGGTTCACAGGAGACTGCTGACTGTTGTGTTTGGCTACATTGTTTCCATCATGCACAGCAGTGGGTTTGTAACCATAACATGTGAATTAATGTCTCTGAGTCATCCTAAATGCCATTTTCCATTGCTGAAGTGTCAAAAACTCAAGTCGCAAGCTCAATCAAATAATTGCATGATCCTGAAGTAGGGCACTGCAGCTGTGGTGAAAAAGCAGGAAAAGTTCGAGAAAATAAAGTTGATCAACTAAAATAAAAAAACATATAGGTTAAATTCAAATGGGGATGGCATAATGGACAGGAACTGATATAGGGTGGATAACGAGGGGCAGACAGGTGAACACAATGAGGTGATTAACTGATAATAGTACGGGCTAAACAAACAAAAGGGGAAGAAACCACAATAAACAGTCCACAGGGCCATTACATTACTCCCGCCTCCCGGAAGGTGCGTCCTCGCACCGTAGAAACAGAGGGAGGAGCGGAGGGGGACTAGGAGGAGGACAAAGCAGTGGATGTGAGATGGTGACAGGGGAAGGCAAAGGGCTGGCAGGCAGACCAGACAGGTGGAGGTTCCGGCGGAGGACGGCCTTCCAGGAGGAGGACGGCTAACAGAGTCCCGGGAGGTGACAATGGAGGGAGGAGCCAGGGACATGACAGGAGGGAACCGGAGCAGGAGGAGGAACCAGGTGGGACCCAGGCCACAGCCATAATAGCGGCCCACAGTGGAGCCGATGGAGGGAGGAGCCATGGAGGAGGAATGTCCACCGACTCAAGGGGACCGACCAACGGCGGCGGAGCAGGTGGTGGAGGAGCCCAAGGCGGAGACGGAGAGCCAACGAGCCAGGGGGATGCCGAGGATCCGGGGGGCCAGGGTGGAGCCAAGGGCTCTGGCGACC